AGAACTTCAACCTGAGGATCCCATTCAGCCCATCCAACAGCTCCTGGTAAGGCACAGCATTTCTGGGCTACCTGACCAGGCTGAGAGCTAGTACAACGCCCTCAGCAAGTTCCCAGTTAATTATTGTTTGCTCAGTCTGGCAAAATCTATAGACCTGTTGCAGAGACCACAGTGTGTATGCCAGTACTCTAAGACTAAGGTGGAGATGTCAGTGGGTTCATCATACAGAAGGATCATAATCCATCCTCATCTCCCTTCCATCACGAGAATGAAGCATCTGGCCCTTCTCACATGCTGGGACAAAACTGAGTTCTAATTGCCATGAAAAGTATGGAAGGAATGCTGTTATCTCATGACCTTATTTATTATTTATTACTGCTGAGAAACAAGCAGGCACTGGGGCTTCCCAGATGCAGTAGGTAGGATACAGGCAATGCATTCTGACACTGAACTTATTTGTAAGGCACAAGTCCTGGAGGGACTACAGCAAGTCCTATTCATCAAAGCTGTGCACCGAACTCCTCAAACACTACAAACCCAGGGCATTTTGGACTATGTGCCTATCAGCCAATTTCAAAAGGTCAGTCAGGCTGGCAGTTCTAAGTGATTTCAGAAAAATCAGATGTAGATACTTCCCTAGCTTTTGTTCTTCATGCAGTTCACCAAAGTAAGGGAGCCAAAGATCAGCCCTGCCAGCAAAATGAAACAAAAAACAAAAACAACAACAAAAACAACAACAACAAAAAACTAAAAACAAACGAACAAACCCAAACCAAAACCAAACAAAAACAAAAAAACCCCCCATAAAATAGGCCAAGTCTATTTACTGCCGACCGCAATCCATTCCTTTATTGTACCACTGAGCTTGTGAAGTCAGCTTCCCTAAGTGCTGGTAGTCTAGCAATTTTTAAGGGGAAAGGAACATGACAACACTTATTAGGGAAATGACCAAACCCATGAAGGTGTGATTTCCAATATCTGCTTCCTCAAAACTAAGCAAAGCTATAAATCAGGGAACCTCGCCCTCTCTCCAGTGGATGAATGTTCCCATTTGAAGCCCTGCAGGGTCACGCGTGACAAATGCAGTTTATCATATGGCTCTGAGATGTACCATATGTCTCTGCAAATTACTGTATCACATGGATAGCCCCAGGACACACACACAAACACAGTTACACCACTATAAAGCAGTATGAAATTTGCTGGTTTCTATCTTTTTAACCCACATATCAACTCAGGCTCAGCCTTACCTGCTCCATGTATACAGTAAGTGGAGAAGTAGCAAACAGCATGGAGCACATAACTTCTACCATTTCTAAAATAAGCCGGTGGGATGTTGCACAGAATAAATAAGACATACAAGAGAGAGGAAAGGGGTTAAGTGTTTTCAGATTGAAAGACATGATGTTTAGATCCATATGACATAATATACAATGTGGAGATTGTTATCCAGAAAAGCTCACTCAAATAGTACATGTATGTCCTTTTGAATTTGTGCCAGAAAACATCCCAGAGAGCATGGGAACTCAGAAACCTCGACCAGGCATTGATTCTGGCATCTAAAGAAACTGCAAGAACGGTACCCCCCTCTAGAAATATGTTCTGGATGCTTTCAGCTGAGCCCGACTATCCCTTCCCCACCCTTAATTCCACACTTCATCTCCCAGTTCCTATCACCCATTCTTCCTTTGATCTGGGCTTGTCAAATCTTAATGTTTGTCTTTCTTATCTAATGTCACCGCAGATGCCCTTCTTGTTACCAAGGACTACTGGTCGTGCACAGTAGTGATGTTTGCAGAAGTATAAGACATGGCAAACCAAGTAGATATAAAGCAGTGTTTGGGAAGAGCTTCAGTAAAGGCTTGGCATGCATGGGAAATCTTCACCCTCATTGCCTGTGGAAATGCCAGCCTTGATTCCCCCAGCTTTAGTTCTCATGGCTGTGACCCAAACAACTATTAGTTGGCTGTAGGCACCTTGAAAAGCCTGTGAAATGAGTGATGCTTAGGTCAAGGGACACCATGAATTATGGTGTGTGCATCTCAGGCAATCCAACTTCAGCATGTCAAACTGGAAGCATGCTTTACACTTTAGATCCTGTAATGACACTTTTCATGTCATGGTTTACATTGCAACCTGCCTTGTGAAAACCACACACCCTAACAAGAGAAGTTGCTAGAAGTATACAGAAAGACCAGCCTCTACTCGAGCTGGGTGGGTAGGGCTGGTTCTCCCTCACACATACAAGAAGGTTTATTGGGCTCATGCTTCACCCACAGACAAACAGCTACAGAAAACATGACAGATTTCATCAACTGGAAACATTCTCCTACCTCTACTTACTGGTAGAAAGTTTTCTCACTTCTGCCCTGTATCCCTGTCCAGAAGGACAAGAAGATTCAAGGTGGGTAGAAATATCCAAAGAGCTACCAATACGCTCAGTGAAACTTGAGCTGCTCCTCATCATACCCTGACATTAGGGGGACTCCTCTTACTTACTTAAACAGTCAGTCATCTTGCCCACATGCAGCACTGCTTCCAAAAAGGAGCAGCTGTTTGCACCTTTGTTTGCTTGACAATTGCTGTTACCCCCTCCCACACCCAGCTATAGCAACAGGAATGAAGCCAATTGCTGCCAGGATAGCAATGCTCCTCTGGGGCAACAGTCACAGTATATGTGGCCTGTCTGGTTACTTCTCTTTATTCTGCTGGCCAGGCATCAACTTTCCCAGATGGAGAGCAGGGAGGAAACACTTTTGTGGGCAAGCTGCTGCTGACGCCGCAGAACCCTCCTGCCTCCCCGCAAAGTGCTTGAGGTTGACCATTCATTGCCTGACAGAGCTAGAGCAGCTTGTACATGATGAGTTTGCTCTCTCTGGAAGAATAGGCTTTGCCAGTCTTCAGTCACTTCACACTTTGCCTCTTAGCAGACTCCACTGTTGTTGCCCCATATGCATGTGTTTTAGATGCAGGTGTTAGTGTCTCAGGGTCTCAGATGAGCCCTTCTGCTGCAGCCAGCTGCCATATAACAGGTGGCAGCCACTTGTGAGCAGGCCTGGGGACAAAAGGATGATCCATCGTCACTGAACTCTGGTCAGCATTTGTGCAGAGCTGAGCATCTTTTAGTCCAATAAACTCTGCTGGGGGATAGGGAAGGGCAAGTGGACAGTGTAGCTCAATGCGAATACCAGAGCCTTCTCCAGGTTAAGCAATTATATTTTTCTTTCCCTTGTATCATATTCACGTATATAACCAAAAAGCATGTTCTAACCCATACGTATTAAGCACAATTAGGATTATTTTACCCTTGCAGAACAAAATTCTGTCTTTATTTTCCCATGGGACTGTGTGGGCATGGAGTCTTTGCCTACAATATATATCGTATTTGCTGCTGTCTCATCCACAGCTCTGTTTTTAAGTTGGTTGCTATAGTCTAAAATTAGACAGGGACAAAACACATATCAGTAACTCTAGAGAAAAGGAATAATCTGAAAAACAGCAAGGTTTTTTTAATCTGTGTAGACAGCAAAGAGCACTAGCTTTCTCAAGTATTGTGTTCAGTTCTGGGTTCCTCAATACACAAAATACATGGAGGCCCTGGAGAGTATCCAGAGAAGGACAACGAAGCTGTGAGGAGTCTGGAGCACAAATCTGATGGGGTGTGGCTGAGGGAACTGGGATTGTTCAATCTGGAGGAGGCTCAGGGGAGACATTATTGCTCCCTGTAAAGACCTGAAAGGAGGTTGTGGCGAGGTGGGGGTTGGCCTCTTCTCCCGGATAACAGTGATAGGATGAGGGAGAATGGCCTTAACTTGCACCAGGGAAGGTTCAGGTTGGACATAAAAAACAACAACAACAACAAAAAACAAAACAAAACACACACACACAAAAAAAACAAACAAAAAAAAAACACTGGAAGAGCAGTGGTTCATTGGAACAGGTTGCTCAGGAAGGTGGGGGAATACCATCCCTAGAGGTGTTCCATAAAAACGTGGATGTGGTACCTAGGGACATGATTAGTTGTCAAGGTGGGAATGAGTGGTGGTAGGAAGACTAAGCAATGTTAGAAGTCTTTCCAGCCTTAATGATTCATTTCACTTAACGAAGCACTCTCTCACTGAAGAGGGAAAGACCTTTGGCAGGTATTTTATCCACTCTTCCCTTTTCTGGCTTTTGCGAAAAAAAAAAAAAAAAAAAAAAAGATTTGATTCCTTATGGAAGCAGATCACCAACTTTACCACAATATGGATCTCAGTTTAACCCAGATGTTTTCTGACAAACATCTTCCTCCCTCTCCAGCAAGCATCTCAAGCACATCCCCTCTCCTCTTGCCACCCATGAGAGCTATACCAGTCAATTCCACGCAGTTGTAAAGAATCTATTTTTAAAGGTCTTTAAGTTGATGAGAAATGTTGACCTCAGAAAACTGTGAATCACAAACCCCCTTTTTCATCTTTCCTGCCCGTGCTCTCCCTGTGGAAGCAAACCACCACCATCTGGTCATCTTGCTCCAGAGTCACCACCAGGCCAGCGCTGTATTTTGTTATATTTCCAAAAGTCTTGTCCATGTCCATCCCACAGGTCAGATTTGCATTCCCTCACATGGCTGACCGTGGCAACGTCCCCTCGTGCAGCACTGGAGTGAGGGATGTGGTGACTCACCAGCCTCACTGTGTCCCATGCCAACCGGCTGTTTGCTTCTTTGAGTGAATTGTATTGTTGTAGTCACGTTGCCACATTTGTAACTACACAATATTTTTTTATGACAACCAGAAGTTCAGTTTTATAAACAGATGCTGTTGTGGGCCTCTATTACTCAGCTGGATCAGCGTCAGTCTTTTTTTCCAGGCTGCGGTCTCTGTACTGTGCTCTGAGTCAGACACAACCCTACAAACATTTCTTTGAATCGCTGGTTTCCTCCCAGAGACTCTTGACACCTTGCCAACAAAGCAGGGCGTAGCTTACTAACTTTTTTTTTTTTTTTTTTTTTTTTCCTCCTTCTCTTTAAAGGCAGACTGATTCATAGTAACTTCTTTAAAACAGAGCTAAGTGACACCACCCTCCCATACCACCGGAGGAAACTTAAACCACCACCAGGTCACTCCCCTTCACTACAGCTCCGCACTCCGGCACAGCAGCGCCGCAGTCCCCCACGCTCCTGCTTCCACAGGTGCCAGCACCGCACGGTAAGAGTTTCTCTCCAACAGCTTTACCAACTTCTCTTGCTCACTGGAGCCCGATTCCTTTTCCTTGCAGCTCCAGCCTGCTTTTATCTTTCATTCTGCCACTTCAACTTGGTGAACGAGCTCAGCACGGGACGCACCTTAACTTTTCAGCATTTGCGTTGAAATGCAGCTGTGTAACGGGGCAAAGAAAGGCGTTGGGTAGAATGCTGGCTCTGGCAATGTAATTCTCACCTTCAGGGCATGTGCAGCAGGGAATCATCAGGGGAAGCCCCACCTGGTCTAGATGTGGCATGGAATTGCTGCACTCTTTTGGAGCAGCACTGGCTCAGTTTATGAGAAAACCCTGCTTGAAATTAGGACTGCATGTTCAACACTTCTGACTCTCACTGACATTTTTCTACATGACTCTATTCTCTGTCCTCTCTGTCAGTAGTTTGCCAAGCTCTAGTTTAGAACAGCAGTCATTTTTCCAAGTGGAGCATGGGAAGTTTGGGGTGCAATTGGAAGTTCTCTTTTTGCTATGGGAGACCCTGTAGAGATCCTGTAGCCAAGCCCCTGCTTAGCCAAAGCCATGTGGTGAATAGGAATGAAGGCATGCTGTGCCTTCCTGGGCAGCACAGGAGCATGGAGCGCTGAGGGGAAGTGTAGGATTGCAGGCTGGCAGTTTTCCCTGCTCACCTGCCTTTCTCCACACAACCTCCCCCACTCTCCCTCCCCTCCTTCACCACTTCTCTCACTTCATCTGTCTGCTGTGTGTCCTGCGGTCAAATGCCTAAACTATTTTTTGAGGTCTGAGAAAGGGAGCTCAGCACAGCCAGTTTGCTGGCACCAGGCTTCAGTTCCAACAGCAGGAACCCCGCCCGCCTCTGCAGTTTCGTAGGACAGAAAGAGACTGAAGCAGTGCTTAGCCCAATCCACCTGCAAATCACTGGAACTGGGGTTGGTGCTGTGGGCAGTCACAATAGGAATGGCAGCGAAGGTAGGCTGACAGCAGCGTGGCAGCAGGGTGGATTTTATTATTTGTTGATGTCCTCTTTGTCCCGGATGCCTCCTGCTAGAGAAATAGCTGTATTTCAGAGGCCGGGGAGCTGACTGAGGCAGTGTTTCCTGAGCAACTTTTGCCTAAAGGCTTTGAATTCCTCAAGGCACCTCTGAGAGCAGCCTTGCCCAGGCACTGGCCACTTGACATTGCTGGATAGAGTCCACTCACATACTGTGAGTCTTTTCTCCTGAGCAAACACAGAGGAGGGAACATGGTATGAAGAGTGTAAAAGCACAGAGCTTGCTATCTATCTATCTATGATAACAGAGGTCTGAGCCAGCCAAAATCCCCCCCCTAACAGGTCTCACACCACTGTCAAACTTAGGGACAACATGAAGACTGAGGATAGGCTCAAGGAACTGCATCCAAATGGCAGCACCTCAGTCTTGCTAGCAGCTCCTTGGTTAGAGGCAGTTCCTCGTGGCAGGCCCTGCAGTCGGCTCTCCTGGCTATGGCTGACACTTGGCATGCAGTCCAAGCTCCCCTCATGCAGCAGCTGGGCATCCCTGCAGGGCATGTGCCATCTCAAGGAGAACTCTGAGTGAGGTGGAGCTGAGCCACACCCAAGGTCACACTAACAGGCATGGGATTTGAGATCCCACAGCTAGTGCTGCCTATAGCTCTGCTGGGGACAGAGGCTTGGCAAACCGGCCCTGCTGGCCTAGCCGGTGGTCTTTGAGTTTTGCCTTGTGTGTGCAATGCAAGTGCGTGCAGGAGTTGCTCTGTGGTGCCCTGAGGTGGAACGGAGGTTGTGTTTTGAAACAGCTCTGGAAGATTTGCTGATAGAAGCCAGCATGTTTTGGTGAAAGGCACACCTCAGGCCTTGCTTAATGTGACGGAGCAGGGGTTTGCTGTGAGCATGAATCCATCTCCCCGTTAGTCAGCTCCCAGCTGAAAAGCTGGCACATGGCATTCAGCCCATGCTTGTTGGAGAGCAAGAAATACCACTACTGGATTGGTCACTCCTCTGCTCCTATTTTTTGATGTGACAGCACCATCACACAGTACAAAACAGAGCAGCCTGCAGGGTGTGGCACTCCCTGTTTTTTTGGTTTTTTTTTTCTTTCTTTTTTTGCTGTCCTCTTGCTCACATGCAAAGAAAGTAATGAAAAAGGACTAAAAGATACGATTTCTGCACCATTTCTTCGAGGTAAGGAGAAGTAAGGGCAATAAAAGTGCTTTTTACATCTCCAAAAGGGAGAGTGAGGAACTGGGTCTCCTATCTCCCCCACTAAAGATTGATGCTCAACATACCATGAGTCTCTTCTGCTGAGGCAAAGCTGCATTCACAGGAAACCTCTTTTCCATGGCCTTCCTGGACGGATAGCTGATAGCTACAGTGCAGCCCTGAATGAATGTGCCTAAGCACAAGCTTAAACCTTGCCAGCACCAACCACATTCAGTCATCCCATAGCATAGAGTCCAGCAGCAGTTCCCCATATAAATTGCCCAGAGGGAATGATAGAGTGCCTACACTCTTACACCTCTTCCTGCTATTATACTCCAGGCAGGACAGCAAAGAAGTGCATCTGAGGACTGCAATCTGGAGCAGGTTTTTTTCAACCTCCTTTTGGAAGTTTTTTAGAAAGAACCTCCTGAATTTGAACAGCTGGCCAATGAACAAAGGAAACCCTGGCCAAATTTACAGCTCTATGCATCCTCCTTGCTCTGAACTGTTTGCAGAGGGCAAACAGATTACATGGAAGTTTCTCTCTGAGTAAGATCAAACGTAGTCCATAACCTGACATGGTAGGGAGGGACAAGTTAAGGCAACTCTGCTTTTGAATCCACCTTCTCCGAAAGAGTGACCAGTTCACCAAGCTCTTAGCTCAGATTTAACCCTTTGCCCCATAAGAATCAACTTGTACCATAGGTATGGGGAGACACCCATGGTGAGCTCCTAGGGACAGGTCCTAGGCTATGCAGAGAAGCACAATGAATGACTGAGCACTGGCATGGCTGAGGGCAGGTGAGCAGTGACTAATGCCTAAGGCTTAGCTCTTGCAATGTGGCAGACACATTTGGATTTGAGGAAATCCAGGGTGAAGGCCTTTGCTGCCCTTTTGCCCTTACAGGGCAGTCTGCTTAAGGTGGGGAGTTGTGAAAGCAACTGCCAGCCAGGACTGGGTCCAAGATCCACATTCTTCTCATTCCTGAGAGACATCTCCCTTATGGGCTACAACAAGCTTCTGGAAGAGATAGTGAGAGACATGGGAGCAAGAGGGGTGAGCTGCAAATGCTCAGAGCTGGGAGCTGGCTGGTCAGGGTCTGCTGAAGAACAGCTCCAGGAACATGGAGTCAGCTACATGATAGTTGGCTCCAGCAAGAGCAGCCCAGCCAATGTAGTGTGCCCCAGCAACTGGAGTTCTCTTCTCTGGTGGAATCGATTTCCATACGTAACATAAACTTGAAAGACCTCTGTCTTAAGTGGTTCTGCCAGCCCATAATAATTGCAATTGGAAGTAGCCCTTTCCAAGACAGACAGGAGGTTTAACTTCATGACCACCTTCACCCTACTCCACAAAGAGCACAGACCAACACCAGGCTGCACAGCATCCCCTTGCTTTCGCCTTGTGCACAGGAGCCAATACTTTACTCATCCTCTCTCTGCACCCTATTCCGCATTGTGGGTTGAAAGAAAGACCCATAGAACAATTTTACAAGTTAATCCTTCATAGTGTTTTCCAAGCTGGTTTGTAGGAACCTGGGCACCTTGGAATCAGACTGACCCAAAAGCTCAGACTCTGGAGATGTCTATGTCACACCAACCTTGGTGTCTCAAAGACTGTATTGGCATATTCAGAGATTTTTCTGTCTTAAGAAGGTGAACGCTATCTGGTAAAGAACTATCTCTTTACTCACTCTTGAAACAAAAAGAGGGGAATCTTTATAATGTCAATGTAAATCAGAGATCTGCAGTTTTAATTAAAAGATGAAGACAAAACACAGTCAGTGTCAGTTCCACCTCGATCCACAGACTATCACAAGAAAGATAAGCAGCCAATCCCAGCAGAAATGGTATGTGCACTTTTGCTTACACCACACTGTAACCTGAACTTTCCTGTCAGAGCTGTCAGATGGTTTCTCCCACGTGGGCACAGTCAAATTCACACAGATAAATATGTGCACTCATGCGGAATCTGTGCATGAGGATGCACGCAGACACACACAGCTCAGACCTGCCTCTATAGAAACCACAGTCACATACATCCCATTCATAGAGGGAGCCATGCAGCAGACACACACCCCTACACGTACTGCATCATCTCCCAGACAGTCTTCCCACAAGTGTTTCTCATCTATCTTGGCATCTTCTCTGAACTCCTGCAAGTCCCAGCAACTCCCAGCCTTTCCTGATATCTGATTAACCCACCCAAGGACCATCAAACACATCGTGGGTGAGTGTGCTCCCCAGAGCACTTCATGGAGTGTGGAGAAACCCCTCTGTGCTGCTGTCAGCTTTGCTCTCCCCTTCCCATCCTCCTTTACTCTCTGTCCATCAGTCCCAGTCCACGGTGTGTCTAGCATATGAAGTGACATGTTTTCCACCCACAGCAGCCGCTGGCTGCCTGCCAGGCCCCAGGCAGCTGTCTCTTCCCCTTCCTACTACCAAGTGAGCTTTGGAGTTTCTGTTGATTTTGTCACATGGCTGAGCACTCCAGGGTGGCTTCTTTGGGAGAAGATGCCGATTTCTCAGCATCTGCCCTAGGAACTCTGACATTTCCCCACTCTCAGATGAATCACGAGCATGAGAGCTGTAAAAATCCAGTGTGTCATCTTTCCTGACTCCCCCCTGCATCTGTCAGCAAGCAGAGGTTCGTTACCAAGGGTGAATTCTCAAGAAAGTAGTTTGGTCCCACAAGAAGTGATTCACGTGCTTTGCCACTCCCTTGGGAAAAGAATTGCCCCTGTTCCCTTGAAGACCATACCACCAGAAAATGCATCCCAAGAACCAGGC